CTCTCTCTCTCTCTCTCTCTCTCTCTCTCTCTCTCTCTCTGTCTCTCTCCCCTCCCTCCCTCATTCCCTTATTTCTTTTTTTTTTAAGAGACAAGGTCCCACAGTGTATCTCTGGTTGATCCCAACCTCACAGTCCTCCTTCCTCTGCCTCCCAAGTGCTGGAATTATAGTTGTGTACTATCACACCTGGATAAGGAGGATATTTTTAAATTTTGAGATGGTCACAGACTCTCAGGCCACAGAAAGTACCAACAATCAAAGAAAAGCATTTTATTAGAACTAATTAAAATTAAAGGCTTATTCCTATCAAAAGACATCACTATGAAAATAAATAGGTAAGCCACAATCTAGAAGAAAACTGGCAGTTTCTTGGGAAATTGATCATTGTCTTGTCTGTGACCCAACTTGTACATATTTACCCAAAAGAAATGAAAATTTAAGCCCACAAACAGAGTGGCACACAAATAGCTGTATCCATAGTATCCCCAAATTACAAACAATATAGACAGCCTTAAGGGAGTGAATAAATAGATTATGGTATTACTCATACAATAGAGTATTTCTCAGCAGTTAAAAAAAGAAAAGAATTGTTTATCCATTTGTATGAATCTCAAAACCATTTTGCCAAATGAAAGAAACCAGACACAAATGCATCCACATTGCCTGAAGTTCTGGAATAGGCAGAGCTCAGCTGTACAGGAGCCCATTGCTACAGGAGTATGGTGATTGGGTGGGAAGGGACACAAGCAAACTCCCTGAGATTGTAGGAGTAGGTGGGTACACAGCTGTGCTTGTCAAAACTCACTGAATTCTATACTCAAGATCTTGGCATGTCCTTGAGTGTAAGTTATACCTCAGTAACATAAATTAAGAGTCTACACTGTATGGAGGAGGCAACCTCTGTGACATACCTGGCACGGTGTCTAGCACATAGTAAGTGCTCAGTGAATGGTAACTTACTGCTCTCATGCAGTGTTCCTGGACAGTGACATTGCCTTTTACTGGGTGTTTTGCAGGTGGAATGAAGTTACTCGAAGAATAGAAATGTGGATCTCCATATTAGAGTTGAATGAGTTAGGGGAATATGCTGCGGTAGAACTTCATCAGGCAAAAGATGTCAACACGGGTGGCATCTTTCAACTTAGACAGGTACTAAGTTTGTGTTTCATGTTTTCTCTCTGCCCCACTCTTACAATTTCTGGGGGATTTCTAATTATTTATATCTCTGTTCCCTAATTCTTTTTTCTTCTTCCCCTCCCCTGTATCTCTCTAACCTCATTCCTGACATTCATCTTCCCCCTCCTACCTCCACCATCTCTTCAGGGTCATTCCCGTAGAGTGCAAGTCACAGTAAAGCCTGTACAGCACTCAGGAACACTGCCGCTCATGGTTGAAGCCATCCTGTCAGTATCCATTGGCTGCATAACTGCCAGGTCCACCAAACTCCAAAGAGGACTGGACAGTTACCAGGTAAGACAGATTTAAAATAGTATTTAATGAATATTAGGAACTGGAATTTAGCTCAGTGATAGAGCACTCATCTAGCATGCCCAAGGCTCTAGGTTCCATCCACAGCACTGAAAAAAAAAAAAAAAAAAATTTAAAGATTAGTTAGTACAGATAAGGAAATTAATGATGTATGATGGGGACCAATTGGGAATATAAAAGAACTTGTCTTAACCATATATATTTCCCCAATTCACATTTACATTCATTGCCTTTGTTGTAGACTTAAAATACTATGTTTGCTTAGTGTTAATAATTTTGTTTATAAACATAGTCATTTAATTAATAATATTGCTTATAAACATAATCATTAAGGCTATTGGGATTTTATCTGATCCAAAATATGTTGAACATTTGGTTTTGCTGCCCAACCTGACCCACTTTTATTAATATCATAAAATTGTTCCCACGTACTGTCATAAAGAACCAGTTCTTTTGAAAGCTTTACTACTTGTTTTAAATCATAAAGCTGTCTTCACGATCATTTTCATCCATTAAATCTTTATTTCCTTAAATCTTATTTTCTCATTAAAAAAAATAACAAAGTGGAACCCCCTAAGAATCGATCTTCATACTATCACTCAGACCTCTTCAGGACCCCAGGATAATAAACTTTAAAGTTAGGAACTTGCCTCCATATGGCTTGAAAAGGATGCGTGTGCTTCACTGTGTCCTCCATTTCCCATATGATGTGAATTAGGGGCTGGGAAGAATGACTGTTTAATCTGCTTCCCTGACACCACATGTGATAGGGAGCACTGGCAAACCAGGGAGAAAACATTTCTCCTTTGTTTCTCCTGAAGTCTGGGCTTGAACCCAGCTAGTCTTGAGAATGATTCGTCTTCCATCTCACTTTCCTTTTGGCTTTATGGCATTCAGGCAGACTTTTCTAAACACTGAAAACCAGTGCACAGACTCTCGGGTTCTAAGGAAGGCATGGCTTTGGCAGGCGCTGCCTTCCCTCTTCAATTCGGTGGATCTTTTTCCTCCAGAGTGTGAACAAAGTGCAAGGACAGGGCCTGTGAACTTCTTCTATGTGCTGGCAGCCTGGATCAGGGAATCAGATTATAGGTACTCTAATGCAGTCAGCCCCTCACTCAGCCAGCGACTTCTGGGGTGCTCCCAGGATTTGATAGAAATTGTGAGCACTAGACTTGGAGTCAGGATACTCATTTACTAAATGATTACCTTTGCTGGGTAATTTAAACATTGGTTCTTTTTTCTTGTCCAAAATGATGAAGTAGACTTAATAATTCTCTCAGGTCCCTTTCTGTAATAAACTTTGTATCTTCAGCAATAAATCTCTGATGTTAGATAAAATACTGACTTTGTGTATCTCAAACTGTGACCTTACAGAATGTGGATCTTCAGTCAGCTAAATGTTCCCATTTAGCTGTCGGAAGGACAGGTTATTTACATTTTTTAAACAACTGTAACTCTTGAGTTAAAACTGATTTTTGTCAAAATGTAGACTTTAAAATATTAGCCTTTCCCCAGTGTTGTATGCTGATTTAGGAGCCCACTACTGGGGCTGAGGGTGTAACTCAAGTGTCAGAGCGTGTGCTTAGCATGTACAAAGCCCTGAGTTCAATCCCCAGTGCTGCCAAAAAACAAAACAAAACTCCCTTGTTGCCATGCACAAGGTCATGCCAACTAACTTTTGTTGTCCGCATAGTACTTTAGAATCATTCTAAAACCAATAGAGTGTGTACTGATTTCACAATAATGTTACATTGTGTAAGCTCAGCCTGATTTTTTAGTTGATGGAAGTACCTCCTTAGTCTAAAAACTAGTGCTATATTAGAGCTGTTTGTTCTTTTCCATTTATAGGGAGCATTAGTTCAAAGTAAATTATTTCAGAAGTAGACTAGTATTTAATAGCTTAAAACTGATAGTAATGATTACCAGACTTTTTTTGTTTAAAAAGCAGTGTATTTTGTAGATATGAAAATAATTTTAATTATATTTTAAAGCACTTTTTTAAAGGAGGTTAATATCTCTTCTATGACTAAAAAAGATTTAGTCATAGTTTAAATCAAGGGTTTCTGTAGTCTCATTTCTAAGGAAAATTGTGTCAGTCAAAAACCTTTTTTCCAACATGGTACTTTATTTTGCGTAATGTTTTTGCCAAAATGGTTATTTTATGTATTGTTGTGAGATGTTGCCGTGTTTTGGGGACAGTTGTGAGTTTTTCAATTGATTGCTCCCATTAGGACACTGATAATCTATGTGTTTATGGCAGCATGGTGTCTTTTTTTTTCATTGAAGTACTGCAGTGCAGACCCCTCGGTTATACAGCCGTGATGATTTTCATCTGTGGGAGTGGTGGGTACAGGGAGCAACCACTAAGACTGGAGCCTAAAGGCCTTCTCTCCACTATTGTGTGAACCTTGACTTAAGTCATGTCACCCTGCAGAGCCTGAGTTGCCTCCTGGCCAAAACCAAGACCGGGCAAGAGAATCTCTGAAGTTCCTTATACATCTTTCTTTCTGTTCCCCTAGCCCCATGGCAAATCTCAGATAACCTACCCTTAAATTGATATTACCTGAACGTCTACACAATAGTAGCCAAAGGCCTTGCCCAGTGATAATGGTTCCCATGCCCACCTAAGAGTGTCCTTATTCTTAAATAACTGCTTTCTTAAAAAAAAAATTTTTTTTTCTTTAGGGTCATGGGTGTAGTTCAGTTAGTAGACCACTTTCCTGGCACATGCAAAGCTCTGGGTTCTAAACCCAGAATAGGAAAAAAGAAAAATCCTTTAAGTCTTTTTGAAATTTGATGAAATGTTTTATTGTGCTGATGTCGTGTGAGCTGTCCACTGTAATGTGCTAGAAAATTATTTTCCCTGTGTACTGTTTGAGAAACAAAATGCATGTCCTTTGTGTTTATTTTTTTCCTACCAGAGAGATGATGAGAATGGTGATGATATGGATAGTTATCAGGTATTGGTACTGCTGTCAATCCTGTGGCATGGGGCACAGCTATTGCTAATTGCCAGCATTCGCAAAGCAGAGGCCAGGGAGGAGGAAAGAGTACCACAGAGCAAAAATGTGCCATTTGTCACTTGCTTTTGACTTGCTTCATATATAATCAGGGATACAATACTATTTCTGTCTATTTTCCCATCAATTCAAAATTTGTAACTACATACTATGTTTTTACTATACCATCTCAAATTACTAGCTTATTTAGAAAGCCTTGCTAAGCAAGACTAAGATCACTGCATTAAAATACTCTTAAAAATTGCATAGTTTTCCATCTGTAATCTTCAGACTCTGGTCTTTCCCTATGCTGAACTATACTTTACTTCTCACATCCAAGCAACTTGTATTATTCTAATATACCATTTTTCCTATAATACACTTTCTGGAGAGAAAAGTTGGAGACATTTTATGCATACAGCTTTGTTTTGTTTAGCAACTTATTAGGGCCAGGCTTAGTTCTACCTAACCTATAGAATTTAAATCTCAACCTTTTCTTGTTGGAAATGTAGAAGAAATATATGCAGTGTGAAATATATATCTAGTCAACACTGACTGGCTTGATGTCACGGAATGTGGGATAATGTAGTTATGGTCAAAGCAACAAACCAACAAGAAGGTTTCTGCATTTGATTCTCAGTCTTTGACTGCTTCTCCACACAAGCTAGCAGGTTGTTTTCCCAGTGTACCTTCCAATATGTAAAATGGTAGGAAAAGTGTTAGAGGTTCTGTGTAGTATAATGTCTTTACAGTTAGGCTAGAATTAGGTCAAAGAACATTTTGAATAGAATGGATTTTCTTTCCTTGCTCATAATTTTACTAAGAAAGGAAAAAAGCACAAACAAACCTTAGGGGAAAAGGTCAGCATCCCCTTGAATCTCAGCAATGCCATTGACTAATGTCTTGTGGCTTTTTGTGCGCTTCCTGCCACGTTATTCATGGTGAAGTCCAACGGCTGCTTTGGGGATTTCTTCAAGCATGGCTGGTTGCATGTTGGGTTTTTTGCATGAGAGATTTTTGGTTAGCCTCATGATAGCATTTGGATGTAAAATTTTTGCAGCAAGTTCAAAAGGTTCTCTGCTGACCTATTCTTTGCGTTTCAGAAAATACATGTTATCAGGCCATTGAACTATGAACTATGAAAATGCTTGTCATTTTCTATTCCATTTGATGTTATGTGGTTTGAGCTCTGTTTATGGTGTCTTTCTGCTTGAAATCACACATCTTTCAATGAGTACCTACCTACCATTTACATACACACAGACACATACAGCGTAAAAATCATCTAATAGCTGGTGTCCTTTGAGCTTTTAAGTGTAATTATTGTTTTGGCGATTCAGGGCTCTGATTTCTGGGTACCAGCTTCCTTGATCAGCATGCAGCAATACCAAAGCCTCTGCTTTCTCGCATATTAATCACACATCAATGTTCAGTGGACTTTCCTGATGAAAAGTTTCCTAATCAATTTAAACATCATTTTAAAAAGAAAGAATTAGTTGTCTACAGGAAAATATTTTCCCTCCCTGCTGTCAGGAAGAAGACTTAAACTGCGTAAGAGAGAGGTGGTCAGATGCACTCATTAAACGACGGGAATACTTAGATGAGCAGATTAAAAAAGTCAGCAATAAAGAAGGTAGGTGAGATACTACCTCCAGCCTAGGAGGAGATTTTTCATGTCTATACAGTGTGGTAGGTTGTTTTCTTCCCTTAGTTGGACAGTAGCATCTTACTTTCAGGAACTTGAATCAGGGATGGTGACTCAAGTGGTAGAGTGCCTGCCTAGCAAACATGAAGCCCTGAGTTGAAACCCTAGTGCCACCAAAAAAAAAATATATATATATATATATATATGTATATATAAGTGAATCAAATTGTAATTGTTGGTTTAAGAAAGCTCTGAACTTGAAAGTAATAAATTTTTGTAAAACTCTTAAAACTAAGACAGTAGATATCTAACTCAGATTTTGTTTTGGTGAATGCAAACGTGATCAATACCATTGTGTCAGTAGGAGTGGCCAGAACTTGGCTGCTTGGTGCCTCACCCTATGTAGCAGCAGCCATGCACTCATCCGGTTCCGGGTGGCTCTGCAGCTCCACTCACTGCCTAAGAGTTGCCTATTTATGTTGGCAACAGCCACTTGGATCCTGGAGTATAAATATGACCTTAGAATCTTTCCTGTCTCAGCTAGGCATGGTGGTGCACACATGTAATCCCAGCACTCAGGAGGTAGAGGCAAGAGGATCCTTGAGTTCAAAGCTAGCCTGGAATACATAGATAGCAAGAGCCTGCTTCAAAACAAAAGTAAAATATAGTGTTTTAAAATGCAGCCCAAACTCAAAAAAAAATATATTGTCTCTCATGCTGACTTCATGGTCTACTCTTTGTGGTTGATTCTGTACCAGCAAACATGTCGTGAATGTTAATCCATTTCTTGTAGAAGTCAACAAAAGTTCTTCCTCAGAAAAACATCTTGGCTCAGAGTAGGGGTTGATTTGTGTATGTGTTCAGCCCTCTAATGAAAACTCACTTTGACTATACTCAGAGAGGCCCAGAATTGAATTACAGGTATGAGGATTTCAAAATATATCAGATAAAGCCCTTTCATAGAGAGCATGAACAACAAAAGTTTTATGGAGTGAGGTGTGTAATGTTTTTAAAGCCTCTTTGTGAAATGATATATCATTTTATAAAGCAATGTCACATCCAGTGATCATTCCACCAAGCACAGAAAGTAGACATGACACACATTCCTGTTTGACAGATTAGGAAACTAAGACTTATCTGTTGAATAACTTCCCCAAATCTCAGCACCAGTAATAAGACTTAAATCTTCTCATTGCTACTGCAACACTCTTTGGTAGCCAACCCCAGTCTGGATGCTCATGTTTAACCTTTGAAGCCTTACATACTTTTTTTGGAACTTAGTGGATGTTGAAGGCATTTTAAATATCACTGAGTAAAAATCTATTTGTTTTAAATTCAGAACTTGTACTTTCTGTTTTATTGGCACTCATCCCCTCATTTTGTTCTGCAGAGAAAACAGAGGATGACGTGGAGCGGGAAGCCCGGCTTGTGGAACAGTGGGTGGGGCTGACAGAGGAAAGGAATGCTGTGCTTGTGCCAGCCCCAGGCAGTGGGATCCCTGGGGCTCCCGCAGACTGGTAAGGCCACCCTACTTCTATGCAGACCAGGCAGAGTGGGTGGATTGCTTATGCCAAGAGCCATGCAGGTAGCTTTCCAGAATCAGCACTATAAATGCCATCTTCTCTGTACCATCTTCCCTACCATAGCCACCTTCCTCCACAGGAAGCCAGTGAACACTGGTGACCTGGCCAGGAATCAGATACCATACTCTTCTATTACTCTGAATAAGTATCTTGGATGCTGTTTCCTGCTCTTCAGAAACTATTTTATTTTGGCTAAAAACTATTTTATTTCAGCGTGTACTTGAAGAGGGCAGAAAAACATAACTTCTTATTTGCCTTAGTGCTTGTTTAGTTTGGCAGCTAGCATAAAGTAAGCACTTGGGTAGTATGTAATCAGTCAGTCAGTCGAACAATCAGTTCTTGGTTTGCTGAAACACAGCCTGATAGCTTAGGTTCTGGAGTAAAATAGACCTGGATTTAATTCCCACCTTCAGCTCTTACATGTATTTCTTTAACTTCTCTTTGGCTTAATTCCTAATCTGTTAATGGAGCTACCTTTCTAGCAGTGTTGGGTGAATTAAGAAGTAATGCATATATGCATTGTGTCTATTATAATATGGCTTTATATAAAATACCTTTTCTGCTCTTTCATTGAATGGCAGCTATTGATTTTTATTCTCATTCTTATTACAAAATATATCTTGAGCATTTAATTTATTTATTTGTTTACTTATTTACTTATTTGTATTTTGTGGTGCTGGAGGTGAAGCCCACAGCTGTACATATGCTAGACAAGTACTTTACTAAGCTAAAACCTCATCCCTTATCCTAAGCATTTAAGAGAATATCACGATTCCCTTGAACACTGAATGTATATGCCCAAATAGGGTCTTTGGAACAGACATGGAGTCATTACTGATATTTGTGTCTTTAATGACAAATGGAGGTGTAATTTATTTCACCATCACTTTAGTAACTGAAGAATCTAAATCTTTAGGCACATAGCTTGTAACCTGCTGTTTCTCCGTATAGATTCTGCTATTATGCTGCAATCCTATAGGCCACCTGGCTGGTGGAATGGCTCAAGTGGTAGAGTGCCTGCCCTGCAAAGCATGAGGCCCTGAGTTCAAACCCCAGTGCTGCCAAAAACAAATAAAGAAAGCCTGCAGGCCACATGCAGTTGCTCTGTTGGTCACTCCCTATGAACAGCCAGCTCATTCCCAGCCTTATTCTGTTTCCCAAAACCCTGTCTTTTGTTAATTTTTTTCTGGTGGTACTAGGGTTTGAACTCCAGGCCTCACACTTGCTAGGCAGGCACTCTGCCACGTGAACCACACCATTAGCCCCCAAACCCTCTCTAGACATAGACAGCCCTTCTCCTTACCCCAGTCTGTCTAATGCGATGTGTTTTCAGACTTCAGATTGTTTTGAATGTAGTCCTAGATTCTACTTCTAGTTTTTCCAATTCAGAAAAAGAAGAAGAGGCCTAGAACGCTTCATTTTAAGAGGGCCGTGAGGTGATTCTGCTGCAGGTGGACCAGTTTTGACAAAACATTGGTTGGTCTCTCCTGCACACAGCTCTACCTCTTCCACATGTCTTGCATTCATTCCTCATTTGAGACTTTTACATGTTGTCCCTTCTGTTTACTTCCTCTAGGCTCTAATCCATTCTGTTATCTCTAACCATATCCCCCAACCCTTGTTCTTAATACTAGAATTTTTTTTTTCATTATACTAGGGATTGAACCCAGGCCTTTGTGCATGCGAGGCAAGTGCTCTGCCACTTAAGCCATGCTCCAACTCTTTTTGTTTGCATTTAGTTTTTGAGACTGCTACCTTTGCCCAGGGTGTCCTCAAACTCATGATCCTCCTGACTCTGCCTTCCTAATAACTGGGATTATAAGCGTGCACCTCTAGAATTATTACAAAGTGCTTCATTAGAATTATTTCTAATAAAGCTTCAAATAATCTTTGCTTCAACTGATTATGTATAATTCATATGATTGGTAGTTCTTTTATATGATTACATAATTTCTGTGATTTGTATTAATAGGGAAGTCAAGAAATGGTAAAGTACTTCATGAATAGACCCTCATCCCCACAGTGGTTCTCTCCTGCTTCCATGGCTTTATGGTGTTTTATTATCTAATAAGGTATAAAAGATATTTTGTTTTGATTAAATTTTGTTATAAAATTTAGGATCCCACCTTCTGGAATGGAAACCCACATACCAGTTCTCTTCCTTGATTTGAATGGTAAGTAGGCACTTTACTTTTCTAGGGGTTATCACAGTTAAGATTTGTCATATATTCTCTCTTATTTGGATTTGTATATCACTTTTGTGATTACTTTTATGCCACATGTAGGTGACATTTTTGCTCCAGTCAAAAATGTATAAGCATGGCATATAGAATCACTGGAGGAGAGATGTGGATATTTAATTTAAAAAATGAGCTCCTGAGGAGATTGAGGACTGCATATGAGAACATTAAAGCAACTACTCTGAAATATTAATGCACGTAGTTATTACCTAAGTGTAATCACCCCAGATACTCTGGCTCTTTAGGCTTAGCAAGAGCCTAGGAATCAGCACTTTGACTGTTGCCCTTTGCTCCCCACCCCCAAAGTTTTGATGCTGGAAATGATCACCTTGCATTAATAGTTGGTCTTGGGCTGGGGATGTGGCTTAGTGGTAGAGCCCTTGCTAAGCACGCTTAAGGCTCCAAGTTCAATCCCTAGTACTGAGAAAAGCAAACAAACAAAACAGTTGTTCATTACTATCAAAACTAGAAGGAACCAGCAAACCAAGAACAATGGTTTTCAATGTGTTTCAGGTGTAAAATCCTTTTCCATATGAAATCTTAAGTGTAACTCCATGGGTAGAAAATAAAAGCAGAGTTGATGAGTTTGGGTGTGGATAGGCTCCTAGCAGGTCCTTCTGTAGGGCTCTAAGAGGCCTTAAAACAGCCTGAAAGTCTCTGCTCTGGAGGACCAATCAGTAAAGGATGGATGGAAGAATTAGGGAGTTTGGCTTTAGCTCATTTGCATGAAGAATGTTTTAGAAGCCTGGAAGTAAAATGTGTTACCTCATGAGGTAACAAGTTCCCTGTTCCTATAGGTGTGTAAGCAACAGCTGGATGACCACTGGCAGAGATTTGTGAAGTGTGCATCCCACATTGAATAGGGCATTGGAACAAGATGGTCTTCACATTTCTTCCAACTGCTCAGAACTTTGATAATTTAACTGTTAACATCTCTAATATACATATATATCTAATATATGTATAACATCTCATATATAGATGTATATATATGTATATATGACTAGAAACCTAATGTTAGATTACAGGAGGATCTGATATTAACAAAGTAGCAAAATCAGGAGTGATGGTATGTGACTGTAATACCAGCACTAGGGAGACTAAGGCAAGAGAGTCTTGAGTTCAAAGCCAGCCTGACCTATGTAGTGAGCCCAACCTTAGGGAGAGAGGAGAGCAGGTGAAAAAGGAGGAAGGGGAGGTGAGAGAAGAGAAAGAAAAGAAGCAAAGGGGTGAGGATATAGCTCAGTGGTAGAATACTTGCTTAGCATGCACAAGCCCCTGAGTTCCATACCCAGTACCATAACAAAAAAAAAAAGAAACAAACAAACAAGCGAATTTCTAAGATGTATATAGTGAAAATACTTGTCTTAGGGTAACAGGTAGAATATGTTCACTCCATCTTACAGAAAAATCACAAGGCAACTTTTTTACTCTGATAGTTGTATTTTTAAAAAATAAAAGCTATCATCATCCTTGAAGTATATATGTCAATTGCAGAATAAGTGGTGAAGGAAAAAATTAAAATGTGTTATATGTAAACTTAATCTGCAAAAAAGAGAATTTTGGGGCTAGGGTGTAGCTGACTGATAGAGTGCATCCTTACCATGCATGAGTCTCTAGGTTCAACCCCAGCACCACTAATAAAAGAGAGCATATTTTAAAAATTCTGGTGTTTGCTTAAAAGAACTCCCCCCTTATGCTTTTTTATCTTATATTCTGAACTTGGTTAGCAGATGACCTCAGTGCCAATGAGCAGCTTGTCGGCCCCCATGCGTCAGGAGTGAACTCCATCCTACCCAAGGAGCATGGCAGCCAATTTTTCTACCTGCCCATCATAAAGCACAGTGATGATGAGGTAATTTATTCCCAAGGCTTTCTCAAAGGGCTTCAGATTAGCACACAAATTCTGTGGATCTATCTTCCTGTTAAGCCGCTGTAGTCTTCTTTGCAGAAAGAAGACTATGTACTTAAAAACGTAGAACTTTTGTGTTGTCATTCAGAATAGGTGAAGAACTAAATCTATTTGATTACATGGAGTTGAATTTATTTTTTTTCTCTAATGTATCTGTAAAACTGCTACAACTGAGTTGTCTTGTTTCCATCTCCCCATCATTCACCCATCATTCTCCCACTCCTAGGTTTCAGCCACAGCCTCCTGGGACTCCTCAGTGCATGATTCCGTTCACTTGAATAGGGTCACACCACAAAATGAAAGGATTTACCTAATTGTGAAGACCACAGTCCAACTTAGCCACCCAGCTGCTATGGAGTTAGTATTACGAAAACGGATTGCGGCCAATATTTACAACAAACAGGTAGTAGTGGTAACTGACTCTGATGTCATGTCTATATAAGATTAGGGCTCTTTCTTTCTCTATCATGAAGTCACGCTTTATGACACAAGTACAGGAGAAGTGCAGAAGGTGGCCACACTGGCCAGGGTAGAGTCCGACTCGCCTTCATCTAAGATAGGGCCTAAGGACAGCAGAGGGAAATGTCATCTCCAGAAGACATTGCCACTTTAGTGGAAAACCATAATCTTGGCAGGCTTGGCTGTGACATTTTGCTGTTTGAAAAGTGAAACACTGAGACTTGAGAGGTTAAATACCAGGTCCAATCAGGTTAGTGACAATACCAGGACCAAAGACAGACTCCAAATGAATCCCTGTCCTTGCTAAACTGCATCTCAGAGATCTGTCATCTCCCCACTGTTCTTCTGACTATCCAAGGAAAGAATGGTTAAACCCTGGAGAGACAAAGGAAGTCAGAGGGGAGAGAGAGGCAACCGCAAACATCCTAGAGTGCCATACATTCTGTAACCCAATCCCCAAATAGCGCTGGACCTTAATGTCCCTCAGGGAAGGAGACAAGCATTTTTAAGTTCAGGGGTGTTTGTTGTTTGCTTGTCTTCTGTTTTGCTAAATGTACTGTGAGTGTGCATCAAATATCTAGTCGTTTATAATGCTTTTACAATTTGTAAAATACTAAACAGCTTAGATTTGTCATGTAACTTAATTCACTTTTCCTTTTCTACCAGAGTTTCACGCAGAGTTTGAAGAGGAGAATATCATTGAAAAATATATTTTATTCCTGTGGTGTAACCTATGAAATAGTATCCAATATACCAAAGGTAAAGTATACACTGTTTTTAAAAGTAGATCAATAATGGAGAATATTCTCCATCCTGCATACTTTCAGAGCATATTCTTACCATATATTTTATGACAACATTGTTCACATAGAAGTATTGTCACTGCCTTCCTGTTTCTTTAGGCAACGGAAGAGATTGAGGACCGGGAAACACTGGCTCTCCTGGCAGCGCGGAGTGAAAACGAGGGCACCTCAGATGGTGAGACGTACATTGAGAAGTACACGCGGGGCGTGCTGCAGGTGGAGAACATTCTGAGTCTTGAACGGCTCCGGCAGGCAAGTGACTGACTACCCAGAATGAAGATGTGCTCGCCATCCTTCACCCCAGGGGACAAAGATGAATTCATTTACCAAATACAGCTCTAAATTGTCAGAAAAGGAGTGCTTGAGTAATGCTTTCTTTAGAGAAAGGACTCTGACAAAATAGTGCCCAAAATAAAAATAATGGCTAATTTTTATTTAACATTTCCTATTTGCCAAGTGCTATGTCTGAGTAATTTAGATATTATCTCATTTATTCATCTGGATAGCCCTTGGAAGTACTTTTATAATTCCTATTTTCAAATGAGAATTTGAGGCAGAAAGCAGTTAGCTTGCCCAGGTTACACAGGTAGGCAGTGTTAAAAAGTCAGGTGTGTTAACCCTGACTCCAAAGCCCATGTGTTTAACTGTGTACCATTGCCCTCTCCCAAATATTTAGACCCAAGTTAACTGTCGAGGTGCCAAAAGGACGTTTAAGTAAAAATCACACACAAGGTGGTGGAGCTGTATGACCAGATACACACTTGCACATTCCACGGGAGCAAGGCTTGAGTTGATGTTAAAGGCAGTATGTGTTGAGTGACAGGAGGAATGGCATTAGCATCTGTCAGCAAAGTCTTCCCTTAGTGGAAACCCTACCTAAGTGGCTACATGAGTAAAACCTAAACAGCATTAAACTTTGTCATTTTGCAAGTAAGATACATGGCTATCAATGTCTTCATTTTCTCTGCATACCTGCATTAAAAAATTCCCAACATAAATGTCTTTTACTCAACAGCTTTTCTGGCTTGTTTTTGAAAGAAATGTTTCTGATAAATTGTGAAAAAAACACAGGAATAAGATTCTAGTTTTATAAATAAGGATTTGTGTGTGTGTACAATTGAAGTGATTTCTAAATCATCCAAAAGTAAGCATATGTTCCTTTTATATAATGAGACATTAGTAAACATTATCTTTAAATTATTATATGTTTATAGGCTGTCACGGTCAAAGAAGCACTTTCCACCAAAGCTCGGCATATTCGGCGGAGCCTCAGCACACCAAATGTTCACAATGTAAGTACACCTTGGCGAAGATGTGCTTCTTATGTAACCTGTCTCGGATCTTGGGTGGGGCAATGGGAGGGATGTGAAATTGGAGTTGACACAATGGGAATAGAACACACAGCACTGGAGTGAGTACCCAAAAGTGCTAAGCCCACCTCTCTGCATCAGAGAAACACACCAGAGAGCCAGGCCTCCCAGATAGATAAGTAATTAATTCCTAGTCTTTCCTTTGACTGTTTTGTTTACCTTTTTCAACTCATTCATCTAGAAAATTCAGTTGGTTGAAACTGCTTTTTGTGGAGGGGACATTGTCACGGGAAAAAAGGACAAGTTAGTGCATAGACCACTTCGAAGCATTCTCTTCTCAGAAGCAGCAAAATAAAAGTAAGACTTCAAAGGAAAAGCATAGGATCATTTGCCTTCCTAATCTCAATAATTGCTAGAAAATGGTTAAAAAATTGTTTTGAAATAGGCTAGGGAGCAATTATAGCAAATAGTAATAATCACTACCATAGAGATTACGTATGACCACATTGCAATCATTAGAAATAAATAGAGACTGAAGAAAAACACTCTCCTAATTAACTTATATATCAAAGACGAGATCATAGTACAAACTATGTAGTATATATGTAGAGCTAAATGATAATGAACATATAAATAAATCAGTACTCATGGGATATAAGGTGGTACTTAGATGGAAATTATGAGCCCTAAATTCTCTATTCTATTTATTACTCAGAATACTAGACAGTAGAAAAAATGAGTGAGAGCACTATTAGGAAATTAATAATGCATGTATTAAACAAAAGAGCAAAAAATAGAGCTGGATATTGTAGTGCACACTTGTCATCCCAACACTCAGGAGGCTGAGATTAAGAGGACTGTGAGTTCAAGGCCATTCTGGGTTACATGGTGAGACCTTTTGGTGGGCAGGCAGTACTAGGGCCTCATGCTTCTTAGGCAGGTACTTTACCATTTGAGCCATTTCACCATTTAAAAAAAAAAAGCCAGACACCAGTGGCTCACATCTGTAATCGTAGGTACTTAGGAGCTGATATTGGGAGGATCATGGTTCAAGGCCAGCCAGGCAAATAGTTCATAAGATTCCATCTCCAAAATAACCAGAGTGAAATGGACTGGAGGTATGGTTCAAACAGTAGGGCACCTATTTTGTAAGTGCAAAGTCCTGAGTTCAAACCCCAGTCTTACCAAAAAAGGGGGGGAGAAGGGTGAACCATGAATAATGTCATGCCATTATACATGTGAAAGTTTAAACAAAATGGAACTTTCCTGTAAAAAATGAACCAGGAATAGGAAACCTGAATACAACTATCACCAAAAAGAAGGTTTCAACTAAAAAAAAATGACTTTGTTCATTGATGGGAAGACGCAGCATCAAAAATTGGCACATGAGTTTAACCAACCTATAAATTGGTTTTGTTTTTTTTTTTTTGTAAGATTTTGTAAGCCTGTCCTAAAATCTTGTGATACAGCAGAGTTGAAGGCAAGTATACCTTATCTACAGCTAGAGGTTCTGTGCCCCAGAGGTACAG